GGAAAGTTGATGTTTCGGGTCGGGACCCTTCTTCAGAAATGGGGGAGAGTCCTAACCCAAAACATCAGCTTTCCTGTTCCTCTGATGCTGCCTGGCCTGTAGTGTTCCTCCAACTCCACACTGTGTTATCTCTGACTCCAGCATCGGCAGTTCTTACTATCTCTGATTGATTGACTCTTCCAAGGTTGCTTGGAATATAAAAGTGAGAAAGTGATGTTTATACTGAAGTCATTAGGAGTACGGCATTCAGTTTTGAGCATCACATTCTCAGGAAGAATATATTGGCTTTAGCTGAGGTACAGTGAAGGTTTACCAGACTGGTACTGGAAAGGATTGAATGAGGTTAGGTTGCATGAACTGGATTTGTGTGTCTTTGTATTCCCTTGAATTTCATAGATTGAGATATGACCTAATCAAGGTACTTAATTTGATCATTTTATCTTTCATCTTTTATTACCTTTATGATCAGATAGATAAAGAGAAATATTTCCAATGAAGGATTCAAGAATAAGGTGGTATAATTTTATGGAGCCTTCCAAGGTGCATTTTCTGTATTATAACAACACTTGCACTTGAAAGAATTACTTGGCTAGAAAGCTCTTTGGGACATCCTGAGGTCATGAAAAGTGCTCTACTTTGTCTTTAAAATTGGCTATTTAGAAGTGAAATCAGAAAACATTTTTCCACACAAAAGGTGATTGAAATTTATCTCCTCAAAGTCTGTGAATGTCAGGTCAGCTGATTACAAATGCAGCCCCAGACACACATCTTCAATTCTTGGCTGAATCCTTAATTTTTTAGAATCTGGCAGCTGTTAATTTCTGGACGAGCAATCACATATACCCTGACAGAGACATTGACAAAAACCATAGACTAAGCAAACAGTCAGGCTGGAAGGAACAAGACTGACGCACACAATTCCCAGAGTCACTTTTTGGATTACCAGAAGATAAATTCCAAGTGGCAATGAACTGAAATAGAAGAAACCTAACAGCCACACAAGTATTCTTGGCACACGACTACAAATTTTAGAGAACACATCTTGATCAATCCTGCTTTGGGATGTAACAGACATGGTGTCAAGACTGCGATCTACATAATAGTCAGAGGTGGTATGACTACTCGGAGTCCTTGGGGAATTCCTTTGTACCTCCCTTATAGTAATAACTAAGCAGTTAGAAGAACCAAGGGTTGAACTAGAAGAAGTTAAGTTCTTTGGTGTTAAAACTACCTCTTTGCAGCCAGAATTCCATGTTGTTTTGTCTCTTGTTGTAAGTTTGCACATGATATTTGTATCATCAGGGAGATTTGCAATTTCATCCTCATGGACCTCTGTCTCATGGCGACAGAAGGGACAACTAATACAGTGGGAACCATCACCAATAAGTAATATTTTGTTTAGACATTTTGCGCATACTCTGTGTAAACAGTCCAGAATTTTAGGCTTTCGGCTATGGCCATTGTACTTTTGATAACAGATTTTGCATTCTAGGTCAGAACTTGAAATGCTTTTGTCTCCTTCTGTTTGAGAGCAGCTCATCTTTAAATCAAACGTTCTGAGGAAAGAGAAAGGTCATGTAATACAAAAAAATTATATTCTAGAAATATAATACATACATGTATACAGTACTCATTGATTCAAAATAGAGGCTGATCCACATGGGTAGGTTAAAGGAAAGGTCAGTAGAGTCGCAGTGTCAGATATTTATGGGGATATTTCAGAATACACAGAATAGGTTCCAATGAGAAAGTTCCAAAGGCAGATCTCACTATCAGTGGTTAACTAAAAAAATTTAAAGATAGAATCAAACTTCAAGAAAAAAATGTTATGATATTATTATGCTTGATCCAATGGAAGATTGGAAAAAGTATTTAAAAAAAAGGAAATGCCTAAAAAAATGAGAGAAACAAAATATGAGTGAAAGGTTTCTAGCAATTTAAAAACCGATAGTAAGAATTTGAATATTTAAAAATGTTGACACAGATGTTTGGAGGCTAAAGGAAATAATAGGTATGAATGGATTTTCTGGTTAGCAAGATGTAATGAGTGCTGTGCAACAAGGATCGGTGATGGGCCTGTACATTTTACATTTTATATAACTGATTTGGATGAAGGGACTGAAGAGAGAGGTAAGAAAATGAGTTGTGAAGTGGACATGAGGATACAAATGAATATAGATAGGTTAAGTGAGTGGGCCAAGATCGGGCAAATGGAGTATAATTTGGGAGAGCTAATAGAATGTTATTGTTTATTGTGAGGGGAATTGAATACAAAAGTAGGGAATTTGGTGAGTCCACATCTGGAGGACTATTACTGTATTGGTCACCTTAATTAGACAGGATACCAGTACAGAGAAGGTTTGCTAGACTGATACCTGGAGTAGGTGAGTTGGCTTAATAGGAAATGTTTGACAAGTTGGGCTTGTATCTGCTGGAGATTAGAAGAGTAAAAAGTGACTTGATTGAAACATATAATATTCTGAGGGGTCTTGATAGGGTGCATGTGGAAAGGATGTTTCCTCTAGTGAAAGAAGTAGAATTATGGGTCACTTTCAAAATAAGGAATCACCCATTTAAGACCAAGAGTAGGGGAATTTTTCTCTGACAGTCATGAGTCTTTGGAACACTTGTAAGGCAGTAAAAGCAGAGTTCTTCAATATTTTTAAGGCAAAGGTAGATAGATTCTTGATTAAGCAGGACACGAAAAGTTATTGGGTGTAGTTGGGAATGAACGGTGATCAGATCAGCCATGATCTTGTTGAATGGTGGAACAGCCTCAAGTGGCCCACTCCTACTCTTAATTTGCTTATTTGTATGACCCTGAAATCATAGGTGAAGAGTTTGGCATAAATATTCCAATTATGGGAGCTCGTTTCAAATTCAGGTTCACTCCTGGAATTAGAACAGACTAAATAATCTGCATAAAAGGAATTAAAGTTTGGTTTAAAATTTTGATTAAAAAAATTTAACCTCAATTACTTTTGGAAGTCTCTCCCAGAAGACAATGTGAAAAGTACACATTAGGTCAGTGTTTTTTCCCTTATCTAGATAAATCTTGGTTTTGTTGCTCTCCATATCTAAATTACAGAATGACTGCAGCTTTGGTAAAATTTGTAAAAGCTATTTGGTTTACTAAAATCAAATTAAATTTGCAAGGGTAAATGCGGGCTTAATATTCTAAGTTTCTCACAGTTCCAAAGGACATTTAGAATATTCTTTTTAAAAACCTCTTAGATTTAAAAAAATATTTCAAATAATAGAAATCCTCTACATGTTACAGTTTTTAAATAACACTTTTATACTAAATTTATGTTGAAAAAATTTATATTTGATCCTATGTTGTCAATATTTTGCCAAATTTTGGACATCACACCTATGGAAAAGTTCATAAGATGCCTTATTTTCTCAGTACTTGCATCTCAGACTTTGTACTCTAACATGCAGTTCAGACAAAAAGTATTTTTACCTTACAATAGTAGATCGGACCCTTCAACCAAATCTGTACATTCTGAACACGTACAATTGCAGAACCTCCCAGCATGTAGACTGTATATCAACGTGACTTGAAAGAGTCATCCTTTAGCATCCTTTAGCCTGGAAGCATTTGAGAATTCCTTCACTTTGACAAAAGTCTGTGGGGAGGAAAATACCTGGATTTTGAATTACCAGCATTATTTCAAACTATCTTGAATTTAAAAACAAATGCTGTATTCTAATAAGAACTACAGACAGCACCTGTACATCAAGCAGTTCGTGTTACGATGCCATGTAGGCTAATTCCAGACCAAAACATCACCACCTTTACCCGAATAACAGTCTTGAACAAAACTTCAGAACTTCCTCTATGTGTGGGTTTCAGTGTACTGTTTTAATTTCACACATTATCCACTTTAGTAACTTCTTAACTGAGAATAACTTCTGATGAGGAAGTCTTTTCTCAACGTTAATTCGCCCATTCGCAATGTATTCTTCTATTGAAACACCCAGTTGATTTGTAACTAATTTGAAGAGCTCTCATTCCTATCCAGAGTTGTGCTTTATTCAGGAGTCTGCCCCAATCATTGATCACTCCTTGGTTTAGAATTAGAATAACATTTTCAGGCAGTGCGTTCACAGTTCCCTACCCAACTAATGTGTATAACTTGTTATTTCACTTTTTTTTGTGGAATGTGAAGCCTCTCTGGTATGGCCAGTATTTATTGCCCATCCATCCGGAATTATCCTGCTCAAAGTTTTCAAATAATTGGGTCGTATGTCAGTATGTTGGGGCTGATGACTGGCAGTCCCAGGTGTGGTCCACTGCTGCTGTCAAAAGCTCCTCACAAAATTTTCAGGAATTAGGGACAGGTTTTTTTTTTTTCTATTCATTTTGTGAGATGTGGGCATTGCTGGCTGGCCAGCATTCCATCCCTAGTTGTCCTTGAGAAGGTGGTGGTGAGCTGCCTTCTTGAACCCCTGCATTCCTCCTGCTGTGGGTTGAGCCACAATGCTATTAGGGAGGGAATTCCAGGATTTTGATTCAGCAACCGTGAAGGAACGGCGATATATTTCCAAGTCAGGATGGTGAGTGACTTGGAGGGGAACTTGGAGGCGGTGGTGTTCCCATATATCTGCTGCCCTTGTCTTTCTAGATGGAAGTGGTCGTGGGTTTGGAAGTTGCTATCTGAGGATCTTTGGTGAATTTCTGCAGTGCATCTTGTAGATAGTACACACTGCTGCTACTGAGCGTCGGTGGTGGAGGGAGTGGATGCTTGTGGACGTAGTGCCAATCAAGCAGGCTGCTTTGCCCTGTATGGTGTCAAGCTTCTTGAGTGTTGTTGGGGCCGCACTCATCCTGGCAAGTGGGGAGTATTCCATCACACTCCTGACTTGTGCCTTGTAGATGATGGACAGGCTTTGAGGAGTCAGGAGATGAGTTACACGCCACAATATTCCCAGCTTCTGGCTTGCTCTTGTAGTCACTGTGTTAATGTGGTGAGTCCAGTGGAGTTTCTGGTCAATGGTAACCCCCAGGATGTTGATAGTGGGGGATTCAGTGACACCATTGAATGTCAAGGGACGGTGGTTAGATTGTCTCTTATTGGTGCTGGTCATAACCTGCCTTTCGTGTGGCGCGTATGTCACTTGCCACTTGTCAGCCCAAGCCTGGATATTGTCCTGATCTTGTTGCATTTGGACACGGACTGCTTCAGTATCTGAGGAGTCACGAATGGTGCTGAACATTATGCAATCATAGGCGAACATCCCACTTCTGACCTTATGATGGAGGGAAGGTCATTGATGAAGCAGCTAAAGATGGTTGGGCCTAGGACACTACCCTGAGGAACTCCTGCAAAGATGTCCTGGAGCTGAGATGATTGACCTCCCACAACCACAACCATCTAGGTCTAGGCCCGAAACGTCAGCCTCTCTGCTCCTATGATGCTGCTTGGCCTGCTGTGTTCATCCAGCCCTGCACCTTGTTGTCTCCCATCTTCCTATGTGTCAGGTTTGACTCCAACCACCAGAGCGATGCCCCCTGATGCCCATTGATTCCAGTCTTGCTAGGGCTCCTTGATGCCACACTCAGTCGAATGCAGCCTTGATATCAAGGGCTGTCACTCTCACCTCACCTCTGGAATTCAGTTCTTTTGTCCATGTTTGAACCAAGGCTGTAATGAGGTCAGGAGCTGAGTGGCCCTGGTGGAACCCAATCTGAGCAGGTGCTGCTTGATAGCACTGTTGATGACACCTTCCATCACTTTAGTAATGATCGAGAGTAGACTGATGGGGCAGTAATTGGCTGGGTTGGATTTGTCCTGCTTTTTATGTACAAGACATACTTGGGCAATTTTCCACATTGTCAGGTAGATACCAGTGTTGTAACTGTACTGGAACAGCTTGGCTAGGGGAGCAGCAAGTTCTGGAGCACAGGTTTTCAGTACTATTGCCAGAATGTTGTCAGGGCCGGTAGCCTTTGCAGTATCCAGTGTCTCCGATAGTTTCTTGATATCACGTAGAGTGAGTCGAATTGGCTGAAGACTGGTATCTGTAACACTCGGCACCACTGGAGGAGGGCGAGATAGATCATCCACTCGGCACTTCTGGCTGAAGATTGCTGCGAATGCTTCAGCCTTATTTTTTGCACCGATGTGCTGAACTCTTCCATCATTGAGGATGGGAATATTTGTGGACCCTCCTCCTCCAAAGAGTTGTTTAATTGCTCACCACCATTCACGGCTGGATGTGGCAGGACTGCAGAGCTTAGATCTGATCCGTTGGTTGTGGAATCACTTAGCTCTGCCTGTCACTAGCTGCTTTCGCTGTTTGGTCTGCAAGTAGTCCTGTTTGGTGGCTTCACCAAGTTGATACTTCATCTTCAAGTATGCCTGGTGCTGCTCCTGGCATACCCTCTTGCACTCTTCATTGAACCAGGGTTGATCCCCTGGCTTCATGATAACAGTTGAGTGGGGGATATGCTGGGCCATGAGGTTACAGATTGTGTTGGAGCACAATTATGCTGCTGTTGATGGCCCACAGCACCTCATAAATGCCCAGTCT